AAAAAAAATCTAATTTAGCGCTTCTTAACCGTATGACTAGCCTAACACGATAAGAAGACAACCTAGTACTGCTTTATTACCTACATAGATAACGTTATTTATTATAAGACTAGTCTTATACATACACAGTACGTAGATGCTTTATTTGCTTTCGATAAAAGTATGAATAAATTTATTAGATTTATAGAAGTAATTATTAGATTGTCTACTATCAATTTTTAGTGCATTTTTACCTAATTCAAAAACAAATCCAGCTGTAACTATGGCTGTAAATATTAATACGATTAATAAACCATAAATACCATTTTCATAACCACTTAAACCAAAAGGATAAATAAGTAATATTTCTAAATCTAAGATTAAATAAACTAAAGCAAAAATAAAGAATTTAACACCAAACTGTGTTCTGTTTTGCCCAAGAAAACTATGAAATCCACATTCAAATATACTATATTTTTCTTGATAAGGATTATGCGGAGCTAATAAAAAATTAAGAGCTAAAAATACTATAGTTAAAATAGATACAAATATAAATAAAAAAGTAACACTACTCATTTTAATAATTAAACAATATTTGAGCCAAAACGGCACCCATACTTAATCATTCTTTATTCATAAATAAAAATAATAATATAACTAATGTAATAGTAGAAATAACAAATGCAATAGGACTTGATAATACAATATTCTTGTAATTAAAACTTAAGTTTGTGTCATTTGCGTAAGCAGAGCCTACACCCACAACTGTTTTATTGTTAGCAAGATAACCTTTTAATGTTAAATTTTCTAATACAGTGTTAATTTTATAGTCTGGTTGGCTGAAAAACATTTCTTTAATTATACCTAAATAATAAATACCCCCCACAACACTAGTTAATATAGCAACTAAAGATAAGAATATTAAACCTTGATCTAAAGCAGCACTTAATACCATTTGTTTACCAAAGAATCCTACTAGAGGTGGTATACCTGCAAATGAAAATATAGTTATAGCAAAACTTAATGCTAATAATGGATTTATATAAAAATAACCTTTTAATTGACTTATTAATTGAATTGGTGAATTATTTTTATCTAATAATTCTTCATGTTCTTTATTTTCACTTGTATAACAATATAAAGAATATCCTATAGCTATTAAAATAAAGAATACATTTACATTACTAATTATATATTGTGTTAAATAAAATAAAAAGGCTTGAGTGGATTCAACGCTTGAAATTCCTAAAGCTAATAACATAAATCCTACATGAGATATAGTGGAATAAGCTAATAATCTTTTTATTCTAAATTGAGTTAAACCTACAACTGTACCTATTACTAATGAAAATAGAGAACTCATTAATAAAAGGAATGTTCAATTCATTTCTCCATTAATTGGTGAACGTACTCCTACAAAAGTACTATTTGTATAATATACTAATTGTAATAATAATATAAAAATAGATATTTTAGCAACTATTGCTACGAAAGTTGTAACTACTGTAGGTATAGCGTCGTATACGTCAGGAGATCAGAAATGAAAAGGAGCAGCACTCACTTTAAATAAAAATCCTATAGTAAATATTACTAAAGAAAGATTAATATAATAAGGTTTATATCATAGATCTACTGAATTTATATCACTTATACTAGTTATAATATATAAACTATCTAAACTAGTACTTCCTGAATTAGCATATAATAAACCTGTTCCCAATAGTATGAAACAAGAACTTAAACCACCTAATAAAAAGTACATTAATCCTCCAGTAGTAGATAATTCTGAATTTCTATATATTGTACTTAATATATATAAACCATAACTTTGCAATTCTATGGCTAAGAAAATAGATACTAAATCATTAGTTGACATTAAAAATATTGCACCTGTAACTATGAATAATATAATTAAAGGATATTCAGTTAACTTATATTGTTCTCCCATTTTGTTTATTATCTTTGTATTATAATAAACAAAATTATTAAATAATAAAGATTGTAAAGATGAATGTTGAGATATTCATACTTTTCTAGGGTAGAAACTAGTTAACACTAATATTAAAGCACTTACTAAATATACAAATATATGAAATATTAATGTAATATTATTTACTAATAATAAACCTCCATGTATACCAATACCTTTAGCAACAATATTTAATGAAGATATATCATTTAATATACAGTAAAATAAAATTAATATAGCTATTCTATTATATAGAATAGATATATCACGTCTAGCATTAACGGCGTTAGATAATAAGGTAGATAATACAGATATTAGTAACATTTTTTTTATTTCTTTTTCTTTTCTGTAAAGCAGGGATAGCATTATGCAAAGTATACTAGACTGGCTTCTATAGAATAAAGACATACCCTAGTACTAAGCACACAACCCTGCAAGCCTATAGGAGGATTCGAACCTTCGTTACATACGTATGAAATATGAGTTTTAACCGATTAAACTATAAAGGCTAATTATACTAAATATATATTTAGTATACTAATTTTGGTTGCTTCGCCTTATTAGTTTTTAACATAGCTATATTTATTTTTATAGCTACTATGAAATAAAGCAAGCGTAGACCGGAGGGCTGCTTCGCAAGAATTTTAATAATTATTTGTGCTTTACTCATCATAACACTACCGTGTGACTGCACAAATTAAAGCTATTAATAGATATCCTTTAACAACGATTAACAGAATAACTAAATAATTTATGACTAGCCTGTCATGTGTAATTACCACAATTATTGTATGCGTAGCGCAAGCGACTAAAATTATGTGCTTATTTCATAGAAGTCAGCATATATAAAAAACAAACTAAACTTAATTACCTAGGGCGGTTATTGAGAATTGAACTCAAATTAACTATGCCACAAATAGTTGTTCTACCATTGAACTATAACCACCTTAATTTATTTCTTTATGTAAGCAGCCAGCAAGTCTTTATTTTGTGCGTATCTACTATAGGCGATATGAACGCCTATTGTGAACACCATAAGTTCAAGATTTACCCTTTATAGTCATGAGTCCTAATTCCCGAGCCATGATTCGAACATGGACAGTAAATACCAAAAATTTAGGGCCTACCCATTAGCCAACTCGGAATGGTTATATTTACAGTATAAAATTACGCATTAAATTTTAAAAATTTAATTTAGTTAATTTAAGGATTTAATGTATCTATATAATATTGTTCTTGTTTAATAAGCTCATTTTGAGACTATGTAGCAATAAATCATTCTATGTAAATCAAAACTTTCATATTCTACTTTAGGCACGCACAAAATAAGGATTTTTATATGTTTTTAGGCTTATGAAATAGCAAGCTAAAGCTAAACATTAGTAGCTGCGCACAAGGCACGCATCTATTTTTCTTCTATTATAACTTATGTACAAAAAAAACCAATTTGTTCTATTAAATATTTATAGTTTATTCTTTATAATAAATCTAAACTTTAATATATTAGTATAATACTTACATAGAATTCTATGAGTTAATATATTTATAGATAAAGGGTGTTTCGCAAAACTTGCACATCTTTCGATAGTATAGCCTAAACATATCTATTTTTGTATGTTACTTCCTAAGGAACCGCACATATTTATTATAGCTTGATTTATGCCCACGAAGTATGGATGCACAAAAGAAATAATATTATATACAAATTATGGATGACGCGAATCGAACGCGCAAGGTTGTTTAATCCTACTGATTCTAAGTCAGCCCTATTTACCAATTCTAGAACATCCATTTAGGCAATAATTGCCGGATTCATTATATACTTTTTATGTGTTGCTCCATTCATAGGCAGAAAACGCTCGTACGAAGTAAGGAAAACTACTACCCTCTATTCATTTTATGGAAAATATACCTATAAAAGGTATTTTTTATAATTAGAGTTAGTTAGTAGAGGATATATCTATATTGTACCTTGGAGCCCTAGTTATATCGACATTATTTCATTCTTTATCACCAGTTAAAAATATATATTGATTATTATCTACATGTTTTAAACGAATAAATTCAAAGAATCTTTTTAATTGACTATCACTATTTAAAATATTATAAATAGTTGAAGTATTATTAATAGTATAATTAGGGAAATCAGCAGAATAATTTTGGTCTAAAAAAGCTATATTAAACAGCTGTTGATTTCCACCAATATTTTCCATCTTAAGAAATTCCATTCAATTATTTACTATATTTACTCCATAAATAGCCAAGTCAGCCTGATTAACCTCTTCATTACAAGCTTTTATGAAAGCTTGTCGTTTTTCAGTTAATAAATATTCTGTTCCCCTTAAATTTGCACCCCTATTATTACCACTTAAATTAAATTCACCTATATTGAAAAGAACTTTATATACACTTCCCCCTTTAATATAATGATCAGAACTATATATAGAACTATTTTCCCCCTTTGGGTTTATTTCTCCTTTAAATTCTAAAGTATGATACTCATCATAACCCGAATTAACAATATGCATTAGGTCTAATGGACCCATATTACCATCACCTAATTTTTCTAATAAAGGAATTAAATAATTATTCATAATATTGTAATTAATAAAAGCATTATTGTTTTCAATATTAAACATACCTCCTTCGTTATTAAAAATGGAATCCATACGTTCTGCTTCATGTTGAGGTCCATTATCATTTCTTTCACGCATAGAATCAATATTAAGTTGAAGACTCGATATATCTAGTCTTATTGCATCTGTCCTAAAAACCGTAGTTATCCTTGGTATTTCTATCATATTTAAAGGATTATTAATTGGTCTTCCTGGCATAATAACAATACCACCATCATAGGTATTTTGTCTTGATATACCAGCTTTATAAATTGATTTACTTATATAACTAAGACGATCTCTTTCGGAACCAGTTATATAATAGCTAGGAAAATATATATTATTTTCTCTTATACTAAATTCCGAGCCATCCGATCATATAAATAAACTTAATACATATATGTTAGTTTTAGATAAAGAACTAGAAATATTACCTAGAATTCACTTTTGATTACCATCTACACGAATACTTTTTAATTTATATTCTAATCTTGCTGCATGTAGAGCCTCACCTAATGATCTCGTTTGTTCTTCATAACAATGAACTATTTTTAAAATTTGAGAGTCACATTTCTTGATTTCTTTAATAGCATTATCATGTCACATCCTTGCTTTTCTTTGTGTCCCTTCATGTTTAATATCTTCAAATTTGGTACTACTAACATTATACACCTTTTGCTTAGCTGCCATCTTGTCATATTTACCATCTCCAAATCTTCACTCGGTTGAATCTATTGCATCACCTAAGCCGATATGAGCTGTAGATAAACTCGCTCCTATTATTCCAACAATTGTCCCTGGATTTAAAGGTATTGCTGATTTTAGTGTCTGATTCATACCGGGAGGGCTAGCTTTAGCTTTAGCTTGCGCAGCAGGAGAAAATACCACTAGATTATTTTTTTTCATACTAAATAATAAAAATATTATTAATAATATTATAAAACAACACACAATAATCATAAAATATAAACCTGGGAAAGTTTGATTTATATATATTATAAATATTATGTATACACAATTATATATAGTTACATTATTTGTAACTTTTTTATTAAATAGAGAAAAATCTTCTGCTGTAATATTTTCTTTATTTATTTCAGTCGCGGAGCTACAACTACTACCGCCGTCCTTAGGACGCGAGGCACTAAAAATCCAGTCACTAAAAATTAAAAGTAAAGAATTTAATACTTTTCATAATATATTGCTTATATAAATAATAATTGTTATTGAAAGCAATACAACTAATGTGTAACAAAGAATGTCATCTTTTTCTAATAAAAACAAGACCCCACTCCTTATTATATTTCTAAAAACAAAACTTAATAAAAGAAATATCAAGTAAAAAATTAAAAATCTCTTACATTCTAATAATTTAATCATAAACCCGAGAATATTTCCTTTTCATTTCTTATAAAAATGTTTGCTATTAAAATCTTTTAGTAATGCATAAGAAAAAATAAAAGCTAAAATACTTAGAAACACAAATTTAGTATTATTTAAAATAAATTTGGCTCCTAAGCTTAAAATAATGTAAAATATTACATTACCAATACATTTTAATAAACTGCCAAATCATCCGCATCCTGGATTTAAAATGGTAGTTATTAAATCTTTACATATATTTATCGATATATATA